ACATCAAGAGGGGGCCCTGGCTGGCTCAGTCAGAGGAGTATGCGGCTCTTGGTCTCAGGGTTGTGAGTTCAAGCCCCACGTTGGGTGTAGAGATTACATAAATAAATAAATAAATAAATAAATAAATAAATAAATTCAAAGGAATGATAAATACAATGCAAGAATGGTTTCCTGGGGGCAGAAAGGATATTGGGAGGGGGTAGATGAGATAGGGTGGGTGAGGGGCTCAAGGGCTCCAGTAAAGTTCTATTAGCTAGAAGGTAGGCACAGGGATATCTGGGTTTTGCCTTATTTCGAATTCTCTATTTGTATGCATTAAAGTAACTAAGGGAAAATTTTTAAAGAGTATAAGTGGCATTGAGAAATGGGCTTGAAATATTTAAATGAGGCATATTATAAAATATGAGCCAATGCTTACTAAAAATTGCATTTATATGCAAAGATAAAAGATGGGAAGCAAAGTTATTTTATAGTGCTTATCTCTGGATTATAGGATTACAGGTGATTTTTCTTTTAAGTTTATATTTTTCATACTTCCTAGAATGAACATTTTTGAGATAAACAGAAAAGCATAAGGTTTATTACATACAGAAAGAAAAAGGGTGTCTGATAGGCGAAGTACATAACTCATAGCTGTTTAATGCATTGCCATGCCGAGACGTGGATGTATTTTTAAAAGAAATCATTTTTAGCTCCAAGGCATCACTTTGGGATGGTGGAAGACCAGACTCCTGACAAGTGGGTCTGAAGCTGTATTTTTGGACAGGTGTAGATGGGTGAGTGTGAGGCCTTTTGGCCCTTAACCATGAGTCGGTCTGCTGGTAGCTCGTATAAAGGAAAATTGGGGTGCCTGGGTGGCTTAGTCGGTTAAGTGTCCACTTTGGCTCAGGTCATGATCTTGTGGTTTGTGAGTTCGAGCCCCCTGTCGGGCTCTGTGCTGACGGCTCAGAGCCTGGATTCGGTGTCTCCTTCTCTCTCAGCCCCTCCCCTGCTCATGCTCTGTCTCTCTCTGTCTCTCAAAAATACATAAATATTAAAAAAATAAATAAATATGGAAAGGAAAAGGTACTGCTAATAGGAGAGTGACTTAACTCCTGCAGTTGGATAACAGACCTCAAGGAGTAGTAGGTGTGTGTCCTGTGTCCTCTCTTACCCTCTACATTCTAATTCATTGCCTTAGAATTTCCCCACTTACAATGAATATCAATAGATAACTAACGGCTGAAATGAGCCACACTAACGTACACAAAGGCGGCTTGCATTCACAGAATGCGTTTCCTGATCAGTAAGCCAACATCAGGGTGTGGTAACACCTACGTAAAGGAAACAGAATCCTGACACGGTGTCTAATGATGGCTTTAAAAAGTATCAAATTTCATATATTGTGGATGTTGTGAAATATCCCCACATCATCTTACAAGACAGGGAAGATCAAAGGAAAGGGCAATCCAGAAAAAAGACCTGTTTCTCTCTCATGCATGAGAAAGAACACATAAAATGGAAGCTGTGGTTACCCCAGCGTAGCCCTTCGGAGAACCGAGGTAACCATGGTAACGGTTTGGGACAGGCCTTTTGGTTGGAAAGATTCAAATTCTAGAACTGTTGGTTGGATTTGCACAAAGTCCCATGAGGGAGAGCTGGTGAACCTCAAGTGTGGAGTGGCTCACTCTCTGGGGAGATAGCAACCTTTTCGTAAAAGATCCTGGTTCCTAATTGCCCATGAGAAGAGCTAGCCCTATGTAGCAGTCAAAAATCCCTTATGTCTAGCAAACTTGCCTTCCTTAAAGTTATGGAATTTAGGGAAAAAAACATTTGGGGAATACTGGAGAGATTGAGCTGGAACACCAAAATTTTCCTCATAGATACACACATTTTAAGAGCAACAAAATAGATAATGTTGTCGATAAAAGCAATCATTAAAATGTCAAGGAAGGGCCTACTTAGGATTTAAAATTCCCATGATGTTCTAATGAAGGCAGTGGTTATTTCTACCTGGAAAAACGGAATAAAAAAGTATATACATATCATTATGAAAATTCCTCACCTTTCTTGCAGTTTCTTGAGTTTCTCAGAGTCTGCCTTTATCTTATTGGCTTCCTTTTCATCTGTGAAAGCAGAGGCTGCCATTCTGTTCCCGTTATCACTTGGATTTGGGAAATTAGAGACCGCGAAGAAAGTAAAAGGCATATTTTCTTGCAGGGACCCAGGCACGTGCAAATGGCCTTGTAAGTTCATTCTTGACGGTGAGGAGCTAGAAGACTCCCCCAAGGACAAGTTGCTTTGAGGATTTAGTAAGAGCTCTTCCGTATATTCTAGAGCCCCCTGGGATGGGTTCGTTAAAGGAATATCTTCTGCTCCCCTGACATCAAATTCATGTGCACTGTTTACTGGAAAATAACTGTGGTTCTCAGCACTGGCGAGTGGATTCCTATTTCTAATAGGGGACAATGGTCGGCGAACATTCAACCTTGAGTTTCCCTCTGAGTCTGAACTGTGAATAAATGTAGACGACATCGACAAGTCTACTGGAATATCATCTCTCATGGCAGAATGCATTAATGATCCAGGAGAGTTATAAGATAAACTCACTGGTGATCTTGGAGCTGTTGGTCTACCAGAAAGAAAACAGTCAAGAGAATTACTAGAACTGCTTAAGTAGGCATGCCAATCTCTTTCATAATCACGGATACCAGGCCTGTCTTCCGTGGAGGTACAGTCTCTAAATCCATTTTCGGCACTGAGGCCATCATCTAGACTAGCTGTGGATTTGGTGTCCCATGAAGGAAAGGTGCTTTTCTCATGTTCACTGTCACCACTGTCATTCTCGTTAGGAGACCCTCCACCAGGTTGCTTGAGGTCTTGAGACACCCTTGCCCCCACAGGAAGCTGCTCTGTCACTGGTTCCATTGCATTGCTCATTCTTAATGAGCCACGACTGGACTCAGTTCTTCTTACCGAATTTGCTCTGCAATTTTCAGGACTTTCTTCAAAATTTTTACTTTTGGCCTGAGTGGCCGACGTCCCAAGAAATCGACTTCTCTTATGACTGGGAGGAGAACGAGGCCGGTGCATACCAACCAACAAAAGTTCTTCCTCTATGAGGGTCTCCTCCTCAGTGTCATCATTTTCTCCTCCAGGGTTTAATGATAAAATGGAATAAAAATCTTCATCTCTGAATCTAAATGGTGCCCTTCTTGACCCTCCCATGGTGGTGGTTAGGAGTGGTGGCCCCAAGGACTCACTCGACACTTGAGGGCTGTTTGTTCCTAGGAAGGCCTGAGATAGGCCCGAATGTGGCTCATTCTGAGAAAGAACACTTGAGTCTCCTTTTTTGGCTCTCTCAGAGGTATTCTCAGTCATAGTCATTAGCTGTGAAGATGGGACTAAGTGTCTTCTCTCTTGAGTTGGCCTCTTCAGCTTGGTGCCACTGGCCCACACTGGGCCCTCTTGTTGAACTATTGGATCTGCATGGAGAAAAGACAAGTTTATCATTCTTCTATAGGTGCTCACGGATGAAAGAGCTCGAACACTAAGAGTGAGAGTCCCTCAAGGAAACAAGCAAGCCTAGAGAAGGAAATCTGCACGCTTTAAAACGGCTGGAGGTACAGAAGCAGGACAGTAGAGGTAGCTTCATTTTACGCTTCTGGAGTCTTCTTTGTACATTTTGTGGAGCTCGGGCTGGTTCTGGGGCGACAGGGTGACCCTGAGGATACAGGTCTTTTTTTTTGTGGAAGCTTTGGGAAGACTGTCCAGCCCAGGTCAGTCAGGGCCGATTATGGGGAAATCTCTCAAATGCTGGTTTTCATAACAGTGTTTGTGGATAAGGAAAACCAGCACTCCAGGAATGGCTTCTACAAAAACCACCAGTGCCTTTTCATCTGGATTCATTCAACATGCATTTATGACACTCCTGCACCACACACAGCTTTAAAAAATCTTAAAATATAATCTACCTGGGCAGATTGGGAGGAAGGCTCTAGAAGCTGGTGTCCAGTTACCCTGATGACTTGGGTTACATTTAGTGCTTAGTGCAATAAAAATGATAACTCTCTCATGACATCATTACCTTCTCTTTGTCACTAGCTCCCAGTCGATTTGTAACCTCGAGTAATAATAGAATTCCTCCCCCGCCCCCTGATTCTAAATTATGAAGAGATGTATGGAGAAGAGGAGGCAAAGTGCCCAAATGGGTAGCAATTTCTAGTGGTGAAGTCACTCGGTCAAAACTTGCCTTATAAAAATAACGACTAAGCACACCTTACTGCGGGCTTATACTGAATGGGCCAGGCACCATACTAACTTTATTACATACACACATTTTGCCTCAGAATCCTAGGAAATAGGTGCCACAATGACACCACTTTATGATTGAAGGCACCAAGGCTTAGGTCACAAAACTTACCCAAGGTCACATTTCTAGGAAGCCAGGGTGTGATCATTCAAACTCAAGCCCGCCTGACACTATGGTTTGTGTTCTTAACCCCGACCCTGTGTTCCCCTTAAGAAAATGGCTGGACTTCCAATTTCCTTGTGAAAATGAGTATCCGTTTAATTCATTGTGATGTGCATGTACTGTTCAGGATTTTTTTTTTTTTTTTTAACCCTCTCAGTGCAGATAGGACACTGAAAGTACTTACTTCTCTGATCCCACTTCTCTTGGTTTCCTCCTGGCATCAGCCTCCTCCCGGCCCCACCCCCCACCTCCCCTGTGCTATCCTGCAGGATCTGGTCCTTATCATTTACTTTCCAGAGCCGTTCGCCCCCTAGAGTGGACAGGACTCCACGGGGTTGGAAAGGCCTGTGTGGTAATAGCTCAGGCAAGTGAAATGCAAATCCGCAGAGCCTCCGTCCCAGCCAAGGGCCAAGTCAATACTGACTCACTTTAATTGAGGGCCTCCTGGGAGCACCAGCTTCTAAAGTCCTAATACTCCCTAAGCCTCTTTTATTGTTAACTGCATGGGACACTCAGCGACGCAGTGTGAATTTTTACTCATCAGCTCTTCCAGAAATCAGTTAAGCTCTCCCAATCAGGCCCCTCACGGGTTTTATAAACCCCAATAAGAGATATATCAGCGATTCCAGGAAGCTCTGAGCATCTGGCTGTATGTGTATTAGGAGTAGAGCCGGTATGCCCACTCAGATTCCGTTTGGGGGGACAAATTCTTCTAAGTGACCAACTGAATTCTCTTGATTTTTTTTTTTTTTTTTT